AGGGAGCCCGATGCGGGGCTCGATCCCAGGACCCTGGGATCATGACCTGAGCCGAAGGCAGACGCTTAACAACTGAGCCACCCAGGCGCCTCTTGACTGGTCAAGATTTTTACCTTGAAAGTCACCCTTGCTTTATCCCTCACCTTTGACCTTTGTTACCCCTTCCTTCACTTACTCCTTGACCTGGTCCTCTCTCCCTCCCTTTCCTTTCTTTCTTTTTTTTTTTTTAAAGATTTTATTTATTTATTTGAGGGAAAGAGTGAATGAGAGAGACCATAAGCCAGGGTGGGGGGTGGAGAGGCAGAGGGAGAAGCAGACTCCCTACCAAGCAGGGAGCCCAGTGCGGGGCTGATCCCAGGACCCTGGGATCATGACCTGAGCTGATGGCAGACGCTTAACCAACTGAGCCACCCAGGTGCCCCCTCCCTCCCTTACTTGATACCACTGCCCTGCATCAAGCCTCTGTATGCCTAAACTAAGCAGTTTTTTCCCTAACTGACCTGCTTAGCTTCTTTCTCTAAGCTTCCTAACCCATCTGGTGTTCTTTCCCACTCACTTGTCTTAAAACCACTTTCTTTTTCATTCTTAACAGTGTTTTGTTTTGTTTTGCTTTGTGAAGGTAATACATGTTCACTGGAGAAAATTTAGAAAATACAAATAGGGAATAGGAAGAATATTAAACTCTTCCACCCCAAAAAAAAACTCCCATAATTTTTCTGTCTAGAGATAGCCAGTGTTAATATTCTTCCAAGGTTTATTTTTTAAATATCTCCACTCATATATATCTGTAAATACATATATATGTATTTATATATACTTATATAAGTTAATATTTTATTATTTATTTAATATATATATTTAATATCAAATTAAATATTAAACATTTAATAATTATATATTAATAAATATTATATGCTTAATATAAATTTGCGTATTATTTATTATATATATATAAAGAATACCTCCTCTACTTGTTTATAACTTACTTGTTTTTACATACTAGTGTTAAGGTAAATATCTTCCCATATCACTAGATATTCTTCTACAATGTCATTTTTAATTACTGCATAGTACTCCAGTGGATGTGTATTGTATCATTTCAAACAACAATAATTCTCCAATTCTCTGACACCAGTTCAGTTCTGACAATAACCTGGAGTTAACACAGATCCCACAGATTAATGGCTCAGTCCCCATACACCTGCACTTTTGCCCAGTCTACTACACATTCAGGGATTCCCATGACTCACCCTCCAGGTTCACTAATTTGCTACAGTGATTCCAGAACTCAGAGAAGTGCTTTACTTCTGATTACAGTTTTGTTTATAAGGGATACAATTCAGGAATAGCCAAATGGAAGAGATGCATAAAGGCACAGAGTTTTCACACCCTCTCTGGGACTCCCCTTGCTCATCAATGGAGAAGGCCCCTTAGCCTCATTGTTTCAGGATTTTTATTGACATTTCATTATATAGGCATGGTTGATTACATCATTAGCCATTGGTGATTGAACTACATCTCCAGCGGCTCTCCCTTCCACAGAGGTAGGGGTGGGGTGAGGCTGATCATGTGGTTTGTTCCTCTGGTGACCAGCACCTATCCTGAAGCTATCTAGGGGCAAAAGTCAAGAGTCACCTCATTAGCATAAACTCAGATATGATCAAAAGGGGCACATCATGAATAACGACAGGAAATTACTCAGGAAATTCCAAAGATTTAAGGAACTCAAACTCTTAGAACCAAGGATGAAGGCCAAATATATATTTTTTTATTATACTATAATGTGCCATAATTGATAATCTCTTGTGCAACTTAGTTGTCCTGGATGATCTCTCAGGAAAATCCACATCTAAACCCAAACTCCCAGAATAGACTTTGGACTTGGATTCTACTTGCTGCCGAACTTTTTCACTTGGGTGGAAATCACCTCAAGTGCTGCATGTGCAGTCCAAATTTGTTGTCCCTCCTCCAGCAGCTGGTTTGTTCTCCTCATTCTCCATCTCCATTGGTGTCACTCAACCCCAAAACATAGGTTATCTGAATTCTGCCTTCCCCCACCTTCTCATCTAATCAATACCCAGGTCTTGTCTGTTTTACCTCCTTTGTAATTTGTAAATTTATCATCTCTCCTCCATTTTTCACCATTACTGGAGGTACTGATCTGAACTGTTTACAGCAGCCTCATCTGTCTGAAGCCACTAGAATCTGCTTTCCATACCCTGGCTGGGGGGTTTTTCTAGAACATCAATCTGACCATATCATTTTCATGTTTAACATTTTCTACTGGATCTTCATCAGGCGGAACATCTATGTTTCTAGCCTGGACATACAGAATCCTCCACAATTTTGCTTTTGATTTCACTGAGCTGCCTTTGAGAGTTAACATAGGCAGCACCTCATTCAGAAAGTCCATTTCGATAACATCTTGGCACCTCATACCTTACTTCCCTTCAGTTAGGTACTCTGGTTTTGGACTCCAGGTAAAATGTTGGCTTCTGAGTGATTGCTTTCATGTTTTGTTGTTATATTTAAGAAATGCTACAAGATGATATTAATACTTCAGCTGGATTGCACTTCATGGCCTCTGTGAGAAAGAAAGCTGTAGAATGTCAGGATGCAAGTACAAATACAGACCCAGGTAAAATGCTATTTTACCTTAATTTTTAAAATTCACATATTTTTGCAACATTTAATATATCTAGACTTTTTCTTCAAAACAATGATTTAACATGAATTTTAAGTTAAGTGATAGTAATTACTCATCCCAGGTTCTTATCCTCAATCCTGGTATGTACTTCACAAATTTTAAACTTAAAATTAAATTTTAAATTGGATTTATGATAATTAAGCATAATAGAAATTTTTGTTCAAAATACCATGGACTACATCCTCAATCAGTAGAAATAATATTTTGAATTTGGGTTCTCTATGCCATTAATTGCCTTCACTGGGATTTCATGCCTAAGACCCGAGAAGCCTGGAGCTATGTATGGCTGGCGAAGTTGAGTTAGGAAGAGGACTAGATTGGGTTGGTGTGGGAAGGGCATATGTAACTGTGTCCAAGAACAGAGGAAATAAAAGTTGAAGGAACTATTATTTGGAATTTTGCCTGACGAACTTCCTCATTCATGTAAGTGCTCTGACCTTTGTGTTGTAGAAATTCTTTTCTGATATTTAGGAAACAGTTGCTTTTAACTGTGTTCAGAACTGTGTTCAAGTGCTTTTTTAAACCTCTAATTTTATATTATTTTAAAATAGTATTTATTGATATGGTTTCAAAATAATATATGATCTTTATAGAATATTTGGATAATGTAGCAAAGCTATGAAGAAGATGAAATTAACTATAATCATACCACTTAGAAGTAATATTTTTTAAAAAGATTTTGGGGGGGCAGAGAGAGAGGAACTCAAGCAGACCCTGTGCTAAGTGTGGAGCCCAGTGTGGAGCTTGATCCCACAACCCCGAGATCACAACCCAAGCCAAAACCAAGAGTTGGACACTTAACCAGCAGGCGCCCTAGAAGTAACATTTTGATGATTTTTCTTTCAGTCTTTTGCACATTTTACATAGTTTGATACAGTATACATTACAGGTGTCCTGCCTCACTATCTGAACTTTAATCGTCCAAATATTATTGCTATCTTTCCTGAGAATTTAACCCTTCATGGGTCCCAGTGTTTGTTTTTTGCCTGGCTACATTTGGACACTCTCCAGTTAAACTGTCTCTTTAACATATTATTTCATTATTTATTTACATAGTATAGTTTATACATATATCGTGTGTGTGTGTATGTGTATATATATATGTATATAGCATATACATTGTAGTATATACTTACATTATAGTATAGTGTTTATTTATATTATACTATACGTTTACTTACATTATAGAATATGTTTACAGTAGAGTATCAGTATTCTATCTGATATGGTCTGTATTATTGCATATGCACACAAACTAATGGGTTAAATGAATGCTAATTAAGAAGTGATGTTTAAAATGCTTTATATTTAATAATCCTTGATGCATAGTTATTTAGATGTTTAAGAATTGTTTAATGTTTGGGAGTATTGGATGGGCTGGGCTGGGACACCTTTCTTTCCCCCATTTAAAAAGTCTCTTGGTATTTGTGCAGCACATTTATAAGAATGGATTGGATTTGGATAACAGAATTTACCTATATTTTGCATCCTTTGCTTTTCACTTTGATTTCTGCTTATGCCATACAT